AGTTTAGAGCAGAATAATAAGAGGTTACTAAAAGGGTACATGTATATATCAGTCAGACCAGATTTAATTTGTTGCTTCTCACACAGTTTGCTCTATCTTGCATCATTTTGCTCAGCAGAGTGGCCCTGCTGAAGTCAATAAGAGTACCTGCAGGAAAAAGCATCATTTGTCTAGTGCCTATTTCCTTTCTAAAAGCAGGCTAACTTTCAGCTGGGATTGGGTATGTGCTTTCAGTAGTGTATTCTCTGATGGAGAAAGTGTTTTAACAGACTCCCAGCACCCATGCCCAGGTGCTGCATCCCTCCTGCGTGCTGCATCTCCCTGCCTCTCAGTGGTGGTCCTGCAGTTGTTTGTGGAGCTGTGCTGTAAACTGGACTAGACAAACTGCCTCTTCAAAATGCAAGGCCAGGGTTGTTGGTTTGTGTTTTTTTTTAAAAAACTTGAATCATGACCTGGCAGTGTGCCCAGGTGGCCAAGAAGGCCAATAGCATCCTGGCTTGTGTCAGGAATGGTGTGGCCAGCAGGAGCAGGGAGGTGATTGTCCCCCTGTACTCAGCACTGGTGAGGCCGCACCTGGAATACTGTGTCCAGTTTTGGGCCCCTCAATACAAGAAGGACACTGAAGTGCTGGAGTGTGTCCAGAGAAGACCAACGAAGCTGGTGAAGGATCTGGAGCACGGGCCTTATGAGGAGTGGCTGAGGGAACTGGGGTTGTTTAGTCTGGAGAAGAGGAGGCTGAGGGGTGACCTTATTGCTCTCTACAACTACCTGAAAGGAGGTTGTAGCGAGGTGGGTGTCAGTGTCTTTTCCCAGGTAACAAGCAATAGGACAAGAGGAAACAGCCTCAAGTTGTGTAGGGGAGGTTTAGATTGGATATTAGGAAGACTTTCTTCACAGAAAGGATTGTTAAGCACTGGAAGAGGCTGCCCAGGGAAGTGGTGAAGTCACCATCCCTGGAAGTATTTAAAAGGCATGTAGATGTGGCACCTCGGGATATGGTTTAGTGGTGGAGTTGGTAGTGTTAGGTTAACATTTGGACTTGATTATCTTAAAGGTCTTTTCCAACCTAAACAATTCTATGATTCTATGATTCCATGTCACTGATCTGACTTTATGGAGAGCCATGCAAGCAATAAAATTAGCAGGTTGAGGAGGATCAAGGTGGTGATAGGCAGAGTCCTCCTCAGTCAGGCTTAGTGCTGGGGCAATGATGGGATGCAACTTCACACTTTATAGCAGTGGCAGATTACAGCATCCTTTGACAGTCATCCTCCTTATGTTTTTTAATTGTTTGGAGCTACTCAGTGGCCAAATAGTCAGATAAAGTTATCATTTCTTTTTCCTTGTCCCAGAAAAGCAGCAGTAGTTCTTATGTGTAATGATGGAAACACTAAACCTCCTAATCCAGGTGCCATTGCATTGTGTCAGGCCATTGCGGTGTGTTAGCTGGTGTTAGTTTGTGTTAGCGGTGTGTTAGTCTAGGGAAAAAGGAGAGCTGTGGTTTTGATTTGCAGCTTTTGTTTCCCTTCTCATGCTTAAGTACTTTTCTAATTATTGCTAGAAGAGCTTTAGAAATTTTGTTGCCTCGTAAAACATAGTAAGGCTTAAACATCACCTCGATGAGCCCCTAGTAGAGAGTGAACCAAACTGCTTGGCGCCTCTGAATGATCTTCTGTCTCACAAAAAGGTGGCTCAAAAGCAAAAGGCCAGTTCAGGATGAGTAAATATGCCCTTGTTTGAACTTCCTGGCATCACGTCAGGTTGCCTTTCCTTGTGCTGTGCATCACTTGCAGAACTGCAGAGTTGAAGCTGAAAGTGTTGCACGCTGCTGAACACGCAGCTGGCATTCAGCTGCAGATATCCCCATTCACACCAGGTGCCTCAGCTTCCCTGGCATTAGACGGCCGACTCATTGATGGAGAGCGGTTATGCAGCTGCTGAGTAATTCACCGTTAACTGTAATGAGATCTAGACACCCAGTTCAAATCAAGGCACCTGTATGTAAGTGCTAACAGTTTGGAACTAAATCCTATGGCTTGTGCTTTATATCAATGTGCTTGTGCTTGTATTTTAAATGTCAGATTTATTTTGAAGTTTTATAAAGGTTGTGAAAGAAGATTCTTGTAGTAACTTAAAACCAGAACACTCAGAATATATAAAATACTGTCATCAGAGACATTGGTTTTATGCTTAGCTGAGACAAATGGCTCAAATTTTTCCAGTGAGAAGGTTTACCTTGGAGGGTGTCTCCCTGCCAGCTGAGGTGTTCTTCCCCTTCGGGAAATCTCTTGTCAATGCACTTTACTTTAGGCATTTCAGTATCACTGTTGACGTGATGCAGCATTCCTGTATTCTGCTTATGCTCATGCGTTAGTGCTTTTCTCTGTTGCAAACATGGTGCCGTTTTCCTGCTTTAATGGTGAGAAAAGGTACTGCATGGGTCCAGTCTGCTCTGTGATCTGCTGAATAAGACTGTACCTAATATCAGGCCATTTAACATGAGAGCTTTGCATTTTTGCCCATGGCCAGTGGAGGAGAGATTTAAATTGCTGAATTAGTGATGGGAGAGTTGTCTTCCATTGTCACCTTCTTGAGCTATCAAATGCTCCTAAACGAGTACTGTGCTGCGGCCCGGGTCTATGCCCACTCTACTGCAGTATGGAAAGGTTCATTTCTGTGTTATAAACTACATCTAGCCTTGGAGGGTTTGAGTTTGTAAACTAGATTTAAGTTACTTCAGTTTCTTAACCCTTTTCTGATACTATTTTTAATGTGAAGAGAAAAATCCTTTGCTTAATTGTTTCACTGGAAAGGCAACACTGACTTTAATAAAAGTTTTCTGTAATAAATGTTGTGCTTTCTGCTTTGCACCTCACAATTTGTAGTGAAATATGGAATTTGGCCCATTAACTTCAAAAGAAGTTGTGGTTTCAGTAAACTTCAGTACTCAAATTGACAGTATTTGTTGGCATGCATTCTGACAATTTGTGCTTGTGAATGGGAAGGACAAAGCAGTTTTTACCATTTCAGGAGGCAATGCCTGTGGCCTTTTGAAAACTGATGTGTGGTGTTGGTGTAGCTTCTTCTCAGATTGTATCTATAAAGGTTGTTTTTAGTGTTCGTGCTAATGGAAGTGAGAAATTACTGTTTGACAGAAGTAAGTACAGTATAAAAAAGGAACAACAAGAAAGTCTCTGTGCAATCCTTTCTTTTGACTCTGTTACAATCTGCAGAACTTCATTTGAGTTTCATGTGTATGTCTGTGTTACTGCCAGTTTCTGATACAAGTATATGTTTCTATAGAAAAGTATATGTTCTTTTATTATAACAATTGAAATTTAAAGCTAGTTTTATAAACCTAAACACCATCCAACTCTGCCTAATCAATGTTAAGAGCTTGAGGCTTTGGTTGTATGAATGATTTCTGCAGCAAGCCAGCTACTCCTAATGCAGTGCTCATGAGCACATACAGTGGTAAACATGATGCAGCACACCCCAGCAAAAAAGCAGGCGTGTGGGAAGTCACAGATTAGCTCTTGTAATACCAGTCCATACAGTTCACCTTGCAGAAGCTTGTTCAGGTGTCCGCACTTGTCCTTTTAATCAAAAGAAGTTGAGCAAGACAAACTTCAGCTTTCATTTTCTGTGCCAGAGAAGGTCACCAAGCGTAGGAGGAAGCACCAAAACACAAGCTCTAGAAATACTTAAGACTGAAGCAAGAAAAAGGGTCTGGCAAAGGTTTTATTTAGGGAGTTAGGGCTTGCCAGAGGAATGCTTTGGCCTTTTTTAAAATGTCCATCTGTCACTCAAGTACTGGTCATGAAAAGTAAAACACGATGTGCCTCACTGACGGAAGCTCGGTTTGTGTGTCTGCAAGTTTCAGATACAACTGTAAGACCCCAGTTTGCAATGCTTAGCCCTGAATTCTTTCCATATGTTTCTTCTATAATATTATCTGTGTCTGTAGCAGCCCATATTCTTCTCTATGCTTGATGTAGGTAATACTGCAAATAACAAGAAAATACTATTTGTGATTCATTTGGCACTTGAAATACCTCTGTGCTTACAAAATTCTAGTCATGGTAGGGTCCTTAGAAAGGCATCTAGGCCCTGGGAAGCAATAATTTTCACTTCATATCTTTACTGTGATGTTTGTCTGCTGATTGCATTTTCAATGTTATACAAAATATGCCTTTATTCAATGTAAAATATGCCTTATTTTTTATTAGCACAGTATTTTACTCATCCATTAGGGCCAGCTTTTTTAATGACAGGTGAGTAAGCTAATGTACATTGCCTCCATTTTCATTCTCTGTAAAGAGAAATTGTTTCCTTGGATTGCAATTCTTGTTTTACCCTTTTTTTTTTAAACATTTTTCAAGTCTTATAGTCAAAATGTGTACTTCAGTTTTTGCAGTAGTGAAGCAGTTGTGGTATATAGTTTCTAGCTTGAAATAATGATGATGTGTACACATGCCATCCCAGCACAAGCTGCAGGAAACACTGCTAGCAACATCTGAGTTCCCTGTTTTCCTAGGGGTACCTAGCAACCTGGTTTAGGATGGGCCTTTGAATAAGGATAACTATTCTATATGAGCACGAGAGCTTCCATTGTGCTCATCTGTTTTATTCAAGCACCAAAAGAAACTTTCCTGCTGCTTGTGTCTGGGTGTTACAGTTGTACTCAAGTATGCTGTTTTGATAATGCCAAGCTCTTTGCAAGTATACCTCAGGGACAAGGACAGTGAAAATACTCTGCAGGAGACTTCGAGTTTTAAAATGTACTTTGTATGACTGTTACATACAGATTGAGAGCCAAAACTTGATCAAATGAACACAGCTACAAATAACCTTCAGAATTTTGCTCCTATGCATGCTATATCCATGCCACCGGACCTGAAGCAGTATAGGTCACAGTGGTGCAGACAGGGATTTATGGTTGGAGTGTACGAAGCAGCTAAAGTGAGCAAAGAGTATATGCACTCTTTGTGTATTTTCAGGTTTCAGATTCAGTTTTCTCCATGTCCGTGGATATTGCAAGCAACTACGAATGTCCTTTCTGGCAGCAGGATGTGGACAGTTTGGCTAGGGTGTCAAGGACAAGTTTTCCCTTATGGTGATGAGGTGTTGAGGTCTTACAGACACAATCCTTCTTGCATTCTGGGAAGGATGGTTTGCCCACTGCCAGGTGTCTTTTGGAGGCATCAGCTACTGTTTCTGACTGAGGATCTCACAGTTTGGCTTTCTCCGATTGAATGATTCTGTCCATCTGGCATTAGGGTGCTGAAAAATGCATCACCAGACATGTTAGTGGGGAAGTAAAGTTATGGAGTCTGCTCCTGAAGTGGATGCTGACAGTAGACCTCTTGCTATAGGTCACCTTGCTCAGGATTTCATTGAGCATCCCATAAGCTGATCTCTGAAATTCTGGCAGGTGTCACAGCTGTGCTACCATAGTCGTGTACTGGTCAAGAGGAAGGGTTTAAAGTCTGGTCCATTGTGATTGACTGCTATTATGTCTGGCAGATATTACTTGTTCCATTAAAAAGAAAGTGTTTTTTTGTTTTTTTGTTTTGTTTTTCCCTCCCTCTTAGGTGGAACGTATTGGGTATTCAAGGAGCCTTACTTAGCCTCTTTGTGGAGCCAATTTACTTCTCTAGCATCATCTTGGGGAGTTTATATCATGGGGATCATCTATCCAGAGCCGTATACCAGAGGATAGCAGAGATAGAAGATCTACCACCTCTTTATACACTCAACAGACCTTTACTTAGTGGCAAGTATCTAATGGAGAAGGCTGTGCCGGTAACTAAGTCTGTTCTAGTAGCAATGTCATTTTGCAGTTCTCAAAACCTTGCAAATTACGTACTGTGAGTAAACTGCTTTCTGGTTACAACAGAGAAGTTATGGTCTAAACCTAATATAGATACTCGGTCCGAAATACCATAGCAAGGACCCTTTGTGAGTTAAAAGGTGGAAAGAACTGGGGTATGAACCTTTGGATGCGGTTTCACATAATCGCTGCGTGGAGCATGCCCTAGCAATATGTGAGGCAAGTTGAAGGCCCTGGCTTAGTGAAACTTCTTCCCACCATGAAATAGTGTGTTAGCTCTCACAGTCACTTCTCTTGCCATTGCAGATATTTGTTGAACAGCCTCATCATTAATCAGTATGCCAAGATAGACACATTTGGTTCACAATTTCTAGATCAATAACCAACTAAAAATGGATGGAGAGAACACCTCAGCTGCCATTGGTTGTATTTTCTTCTTGGCATCAATCTCTGTTGGACGCAGCATTGGCTTTAATTAGCATGGCACCCAACTAGTTTGCATGACCCAATAATCACAATATTTTAATTTCCACTTTGTAGGTTAATGCACAAATGCTGCATTCAGAGCCCAGTGGCACAGTCTTTGGGAATATTTTTGATAGAGTATTAAATATATCTGACGGACAGCAATATGGCAAGCCCCAGCCAGTGTAGTTAGCACTTGTCTTTTGCAGGTGCTGTTGAATATTTAAGTACCTTTCTTTGGCTTTGTGCTGATCCTAGGCTCTAGTGGAGCTAAGAGGAATGGCAGTGTTTGAATTAACAGGTTGTAATTTCTAACTGAGCCATAACTTTCAAAGGAAAGTTCTGAAGTGTCTTACATTCTAAAACTGCTAGTTATAGTAATGCTGTGAAAGCTTTAAAACTGAAATCTCTTGTTCTCCCTCTCATTGTGTGCATTGCTTTGTTCTGTAGAGCTTGGCTTTTGGCATGCATCTGTTTATTTTCCAGGGAAAAAAAAGCTTGGTATTTTAAAGCATGTTTAAAGTTTTACATGAATTTCTAAAATAGATTTAGGGAGGGACTGCAGAAAAGAGCATATTGAACAACAGCATTTTTTTAGATAAGAAAGGTAATTAATAAAGATTCCCTGAACTAGGATGTATTAAAATGTTAAGTAACGTATTTGTCCTTATATTAGCAAGTAAGTAACAGTTACAACACTCACAGTACCAAGTATTAAATTGTTGTATGGGCATAGTAGCTGATGTATGGACTGTTTCTGCCTGATTTGGGGGAATTTTTATTTTTATGTTTATTTTGGGGGAATTCTTCAAGACAGCAGGTTTGGGGTGGGGTGGGAGGAGTTTTTGTTATCCCTTGTCTTCTTAAAAATCATCTTTCTGAAATATTATTGTCATCTGTTTGCCATGAAATAGCACCATCTGTTTCAACAGTTCAGTTGGGACTTGCTGAGCACTAGAGAGAGTTGAGAACTGTTCTCAGCTGTTGAGTTTTCATGAAAATACACATCTCAAAAATATACAGGAAGCTGGTTTGGAAGGCTGGGCAGAGAATTGTATTCATGGATTTTCTCCTACTGGTTCAGTCTTGAAAGCTAGTCTTCTGACCCATGCTGTTGGATTCATCTGGGGCATTTGTGTAGCTACCCATCTGCTCTTTGATTCACACATTTTACCATGTATTCTTACCTGGAATAGGCACTGCAGAAATACCTGTCCCCAATTCTATGTTCCTCCTGGTACCACACACACAACTGTGTGATCATGACTCATTTCTACCAGAGGGATGAACTAAAAGAGAAATGGCTGTCTTTCCCCACTGTCTCACCTGTTTAGCTGAGAAAGTACTGTAAAAACTGGGTTTTTTTGACTCATACAAGTTTTATGTCTGTAGGGACATGTCTGCATGTCTGCATTAAGTCAAAGTCAGACTGAGTTATTGTTATCTGCTGCTAAAAATTGTCTTTTCATCATCTTTCTTTCCTCATAGGAGATTTTCTACTTACACCTCCTTTTGTCAGCAAGTTAAATGTGAACATGCATATCAGAGTAGCTGGTTTTCAGCTACGGGATGCAGGAAACCCATATGTTGGTAGAAAACTCCCTCCCCATGCTGACTCTTGGAAACCTTGGTTGCAGGACCCAGCCTTTCGGGATGCCTTTAGCACTGCAGCACTGAGGGCACCTGAGTTGTCACTGAGAATTGTCCAGCTCACTTGAAGAGAAGACAGGTTCAAATCTTGTGAATTTCTAGAATTATCTGAAAAGGAATCGATTTCTCAATCAAATAGAATGAGGATGATTGTATAAATCGGCCAATAACAAAGTGCCAGTCTGCAGGTTAATGTGCACAGACTTTTTGGAGCCATTGTGGGAAGTGGGCATGAAGGAGTTGCACTTCATGGTGGAAGCAGGTTGGCAGAGCTCAGCAATCCTCTGATCAGCCCTTGAATCAGCCCTTGAAAATCCTAGGGAGCACAAGTCATCAAATAGAAGAGCCTTTTACGTATAAAAGGCAAGCTCTTTGTCACTGGAGGCAACTAGTGTGAACCAAATTTCATCAGGTGTCTGTCCTTATTGTTCCTGTTGCTGGTAGGTGTGCCTCAGATGCCTGAGGTCCTGGGCTAATGGCATTCGCTGGGACTGTGACCACAAAACAGATGGCAGGCTGGGCCCCAACGTGCTCTCCTGTCCACGGCAACTACTCAGCCAAACCCCAAACCCTGCAGTAGTGTTTGGTTTTGTGATCAATGCCTTTTTTTTTTATCTGTGATTATAGTATTAATACATGCGTAGTTTTCCCTGTTTTGATGTCTGGTCAGTTGATAGTTTCTTACGCTTTAGTTTCTCTAGAGCTTCCCGTCTTTTCCTAGAGTATTGTCAGAAATTATGTTGCTGGCGGTTTTGACCTGTTCCTTGTGGAGCTGCTGACAGGTATTTCCTATTTCAGTTCTTGGCTGAAACATCCTGGAGCAGTGTCACATCTGCTGGTTATCTTGTGACCAGCATAAGAACTGTCTTAGGTAAGACCAAGATCTTAAGGTATGATCCATCTGGCTCAGTACTCTTTTCCACAGGCAGTTAGGCAGTGAAAAGCAAAAGGAAATAGTAAGCCTCTGGAGATACCTCCTGAGAATCACAGCAGTAATCTGCGGATCAGGGACATCCAGAGACAGGTATTGAGAATCTTTGTGTCTAGAAGTCCTTAATGGATCTTTCATTTATGAACTCCTGGTTTTCTTTTTTGATCTCGTTTAAACTTTTTACCATCTGCATTTTTACCCTCTGCAGCAGTAAGGAGGGCTGTAGGACCTGTAAAGATCTGTGCAATGGAATTCTTCTCTGCTAATTTAATTAGATGCTCCTCAGTGCTCTGTATGATACAGGCTATAAGCAGTTGTTGTGGCGCTTCTGTCATGGCGTGCAGTTTTTTACACCTCTCTAATATTCCTGCATAAGTCCTATTTTTTGCAAGCTGGAAAGTCTTAGTCTGCTTTGTTGTTCCTTGCATGGAGACCCTTCCATGTAAGGATCATCTCTTCCATCCTACAACTGCGTTTTTGAGCTAGTAAGACCAGATCAGCACCTGCTACTCAAGATAAAGCAGCAGTACTGATTTATATGGTGGCATCATGATATTTTGTTCAGTTTCGTGATCCTTCAGTAATAATTCCTAACATTCACTTTGCTTCCTTTGATTACTGTTGATCATTGACCTGACCTAGAACTCAATCTGGCCACTGTTGTAAGAGAAGAGGAGGCTGAGGGGAGACCTTATTGCTCTCTACAACTACCTGAAAGGAGGTTGTAGTGAGGTGAGTGTTGGTCTCTTCTCCCATGTAGGTAGTGATAAGACAAGAGGAAATGGGCTCAAGCTGTGCCAGGGGAGGTTTAGATTGGATATTAGGAAAAATTTATTCACGGAAAGGGTAGTCAAGCTTTGGAACAGGCTGCCCAGAGAGGTGGTGGAGTCACCATCCCTGGAAGCGTTCAAAAAACAGGTAGATGTGGCACTTTGTGACATGGTTTAGTAGGCATGGTGGTGTTCGGTTGATGATTGGACTGATGATCTTAGAGATCCTTTCCAATCTTAATAATTCCTAGTTTTTTTACTTTACTATTCATTATAAATAATCCAGCCACCAAGCCAGGAAACATGAAATTGCTACTCTACCCTTCATTGGTTTAGTGGTGGACTTGGTAATGTTAGGTTAATGGTTGGACTGGATGATCTTAAAGGTCTTTTCCAACCTAAACGATTCAATGATTCTATGATTCTATGACCTTTTGGTAGAACTGAATATTAGAAACTAAAATCTCATTCCTGAGTGCTAATATCCAGCTTCAAGTCCAGCAGTCCTTATGTAAAATTGATTGGTTTTTTCCTCATGTATTACCTAATATTTATCTGTGAGGAATTTCATCTGCCTTTTCATTGCCCAGTCTCCCAACATTGTGAGATTTTTTTCCTCCTACTCTTTGCAATTGCTTCTCTTATTTACCTTCTTAAATAATTTAGTATCATCACCAATCTTATTCACCTTATTTTTTCCACACACACACACTTTCCAGGTCTGCACAGAGCTTGAGGGTCTCCAGCTGTGTTGGCTCTTCCCAAGGAGACCATCTTCATCCAGGTGTCCATTAAGTCTGTTTTTAAGGTAGACATCGAACATACAGGCCTTCTACTCCCTGGGCTCTCTAAGAATTAGTGTCACACTAGCCACCTCCAGTCTTCAGTTACTAAGGCAGGTGCTTGCTGAGTCTTTCCCAATATTGTTGTATTTACATCTGTGCCCAGTAGGGCAGTATCATAGTTCTTGCAGCCTTCCTGGTGCAGATGTCATGTTTATTGACTGGTAGTTCCCTGGCACACCTCTAAACTCCTTAAAAATTGGAGTCGCATTGGCCACCTTTCATCTTCGAGAACTTGTGTGGTTTGTGGTGAGAGGTTATGTATCATGACTGCTGTTCCTGCTGCCTTGTCTTTAGTTTCCTTGAATATGGTTGAATACTGTCTGGGTGCTGTAACCGGTGTTTGCTTACTTCATACGCATATCCTAGAACTATTTTTACTGGCACCTCAATTTGAGATAGCTTGTCTGGCACATTGCCTGTGAAGAGGGGCTCCGGCCTGGGAACCCACCCACCCTTTCTGCAAAACATTCATTTGTTTTTTGTACACAAGACTTCAACCACCACAGCAAGAGTGGTTATTATAAATGTTCATGCCTCAGTACTCCTCTGACTGCTGTCTACATTTGCCTTTGTTTTTTTTTTAAACAAAAATAAATCTTTCAGCAGAACCTTTGGTGATTTTTTTGGCTGTTTCCTTGGTACTTTTTCCTCCTGTTCACATTGGTGTTTTTCAGCTCTCTAGCTCCTCTTTAATGAAGCTTTTTTGAGCTCCATCCTCAAAGAACTGTCAAGCTTTATTATTTATATAAGCACTGGCACAAAGAGCTGTGACCTTTGCTTTTGCTTGTTATACTCCATTATAATAATATTCAACAATAAGTTCTGAGCAACGTTCTCCAAATAGCTTAGTTATATCAGTTTTCAAAGGAGAATAAAATATTTTACTTTCTATCTTAGCTTTCTCTCCCATTATTAGTTTCAGCTTATTGTGCTATGTTTATGTCTAGATTTGGAGGGGGAAGATATGATCCGCCTAAAGTGTTATCAGATGCTTTGCTTTTGAGATGACCTTTATTCCCTGTCTGTGGTACCTGTGATCCACCTTCATGGAGTCCTTTCCCATCTCTCCAGGGTTTGTTCAGATAATTAAGCAGCTAAACAGGGTGTTGTTATTTAAGTCTGTTTGAAATTCTGAGTCTCTATTTTATTTATTTAATTCATCAAAATAACCTAAGGAATGCAATTGTATAATTGCCATGGAAATGTAGTCATACTGGATGTTCAGCTTCCTCATCTTTATTTGATTTGCTTGTGCAGGTGCTTGTGATAGCACTGGTGGCTGAGTAGCTGATAGGGCAGAAGCAGGCTCAAGGAGCAAATGGTGTTTTGCAGTACTTGGTGAGCTATATCTGATTGCGGTACTTGTTCAGTAGTGTATGGAATGAAAGCAAAGGTAATAGTATATGTATATCATTAAATTGAAGAAAAAGTATGACTGACCTGCTCGTCATGTGGTGGCAATTTCTTAGCCCTCTTCCTTGGTAGTTTTTGGTAAAACCAATTTTTGATTAAGAGGTTTGTCAGCATGGGTCTGTTTCACATAAGCTTCACCAAAGCAGCCTGAATGTATATGCTTTTGGAGACTGAGACTTGAGATATGTTTTGTGCACTCCCAAAATTTACGATTTATTAGGTGTTTAGGTGCAAGCATCATGTTGTGTGACTTGTGGAGTGGCAGTGTTTGCTCTGCAGCATTTGGACTTCAGTGGCACAGGACATGCACAGGCATGGTGCATTATCAGCTCCAGTTTTCAGGAGGCGTGATGCGCATGTTCATTGCAACTGCTCAGGAGGACCACAGAAGTTGTGATGAGGACTTTTCAACTCTCGTCATAAAGCCCTGTTCTTGCCGCGTTTTCCCTGAGTATTGCTTGCGTGATATTCTTGATGGTACCTACTGAGCAGAGACTGCTGTCTGCCCGCCCAGGTTGGTCAGTGTGTGGATCCCACTTCCCTGCTCTACGATTTATAGATTGGTGGATGTAGAACTGTGGCATCCTGCTGTATTTCAGCTCCTGGATGCATCTCTCCTAAAAGAAATCAGAAAAGAGCTCTTCAGGAAACTTTTGCTCCGATTCTCAATTTTTTCAGCTTGTATTTCAAGAAAATGGGGAATAGTATGTTTATTATTTACTCATTCACTTAATTACTGGTTATTAGTCATAGTGACCATATGGACATAAACCAAGCATAAAAATACAACAGCTTCAGGAAGTTCAATATGATTGATATTTCACAATGTTTGTTTATTTAATAAATGAGGAATTGATTACAGTAAGCAAACTGAATTTCGCTGTGTTGTTCAGACCTTGTAGGTCTCACACACTCTCAGTGCTGGGCCCAGAGGTGCCGTGAGACCCGGGCTAAGTCTTGCGCTTGGGTGCCTGAGGTTGGCTTAACTTTGTTTATTAGATTGCGTTTCAAATATCAGCAAGAAATGCATCCTGCTGCAATACTTATGTTGAATTTATACAAATCCACTAGATTTTATAAAGTGTAGGACCTAGCATAACCTTGGAGTAGATTTGAAATAGGCTCTCAGTGAGAGTTGCATTAGAGTAAAAAATGGGATCTTTACTTATTAGAAAGAAAAAAATCCCTTGTTCTCTCCTGGCGAGACAGCTGAGACATCTTAAAGGTAGTTTTGCCACCCCTATAATGTCTGCAGGATCAAAAGCAATGCGCTCCTTAGCTTTTCTATAGCACGCACAACCCAAACTTGTGGCCATGGCCGCTGCTTGCAAGCACCAAGTGCTGTCTCACTGCTTGTGCGGGAGAGGAGTTGCATGTGCATGACAGCAGCTGCCTTGATCTTTGAGCACAGTACTGTGGTCATTATATACAGTGCATCTCTGCAGCATTGGGGTGCTGCGGGGGAATAAATCCTGCCCTGGGCAGGCAGCTGGCCTTGCTTCGTGCTTGGGTTAGACTTCTGGTGGCTTTGCTTTTCCGTTAGTAGAGATGAAGCTGTATTTGAGAGGTGTCGCACAATTTAACATCCGAGCAAAATGATCTGCGTCCTTTCTTGAGTCCTGTGTTTTGCCATTTCTGGGCACTGTAAGTAGCAATGGGCATGTAAAGTGGGGAGGCAGCTGAAGCACAGCCAGATTTTTGCTGAAAGACTGAAATGTCTGCTAGTTTTGGCTTTCTGTGGAGGATGCTCATGATGGGGCTCACTTTGTCTAATTCAGATGCCCACAGCGTCAGTGCCATTGCCTGTACTAGTCACACTGTGTCCCAGCGTAGTCCGTAAGAAGGAGGAAATAGATTGATAGCTTTTAATGAAATGCGCTCGACAGCTACTGAAATGTAGGCACCTTCATGCCTTGGTTTGCAAGGCATCCTGCAGTCTCATACCACTGCTCCGACCTAACTGCATTTTTATGAGGGAAGGTGAAAAAGCACATTGTAAGCACTTCTAAATAAGCACGACCTCTCTGAACAAGACTGCAGTCCATAGTTGTTAGCTGAATTGTAACTGTGTGTTGAAACATGACCAGGGTTCATAGTTTCACACCCGTTTTGAAATGAGATAAGCAACATGCAGCTGAATGTTTACAACAGCAGAGTGAAAGGGAATTGATTGGAGAGTTATAAATGTCAAAACCTCACAGTATCTGCTCTTTCCTACACTCAGCTTGTCCCGCTACTGAGCGGGATCTGAGACCAATGGTTTCCTGTGCAGGAGCAGAGCAGCTTTTTTTCTGCTTCATAATTATTTGCAGGTTAATAATTAGTTCATTGGTTTGCCCTATGAGCAAGACCAGATCTTCCTGAGATGGAGGTGGCAAGGTTCTCATGTTACTGTCCGCATGGACCCTTGCCACAGACCTCTCTGCAATCCCCTCTGCTGAGGAGGCTGGTTTCTCACAGCTCCAGCGATGCACGTTTTGCCCTGCTAGGAAGGACAGAAGGATAGAGCACTTTAGCCAGGATGAGAATGAGATGTGCATGTCAATATCTCCGCAAGTCGGTTAAAAATCTGCAGGAGAATGTCCTTGGAATAAAAGATCCACTTGTAAGACTGCTTAGCGATGTGATCTCAGTAGCTCTGCTGTATTGCTTACTCCCCAGTAAAAACAAAAATCAAGAGTTAGTGTTTACTATTGTCATTAAACATTGCTTTTCTTTCAGGTATTAGCAATGCAGAAGCCCGTCAACCAGGGAAGGCACCAAACTTCAGCGTGAACTGGACAGTAGGAGATACTGGTCTTGAAGTTATTAATGCTACAACCGGCAAAGATGAAATGGGTCGTGCATCTCGCCTTTGTAAGCATGCTTTTTACAGCCGCTGGATGCGTATTCATTCAAAGGTATATCTTCCATAGTGCTAGATTTTCCACTTCTTCTTAATTCTTAATTAAATATTTGTGCGTGCTGCTTTCTGTATTCAGAAGGCGCTTTCTGAGCCTCTTGTAAGTTGAGCCTGATTTTAGCTACTGCTCCATGTAGTAATGGAAAACAATAATGCATTTGTTTAGCTTATTTTTTAATTTGATGATGAAAGGTCCAAAACATGTGCAAGGATCTAATAATCCTTGGTTTATAGCTAAGTAAACAAAGAGTGGTATCTCCTTTGAGCTTGCCTTCTCATTTTAATTTATTTGGAAGGATAATCCCAGTTTCACTGCAATTGAACTTACTGAGGTTTTGCTTAGTCCTCTCTTAGAAAAAAAAACTTCAAGAAAGTATCTGTTTTTCAGTGCTTTTTAGTGTCTAGATTTCTTCCACCAAAGGAAGGTGATAATCTAGAGAAAGCAAAAGGCAGGCTAGCTGGGGTGAGAGTAGTCCAAAGAGTGCATCTGCTGTGGCATGGCGTGGCTTGGTGCTGCAGAAGGGCTTGCTTTGCAGGAGGCAAACGTTGCAGTTGGGTGTGGTGAAGCTGGGTACAGAGCCATGATGGCTGGAAGGAGCCAGTGTACTTGTCTGCCTTTGCCTGAACAATTGGTTTAGTAGTTCATTACCTTGTTTTAATAATAGTTGTTTTAATAACTCAGTCACTCACAAATTGTTTGGCTTAGTAGTTTCTTGTCTCTCTTCTTTTCTTGTCTTCAATCCACACAGCTTTCCTCCAGCTTGCGCTCAAAGATCCTCAAGCCAAACCTGTACCATGAAACCAAGCAAGGAGCCACTGAGTATCAAACTGCCAAAGAGTGTTTGTTTAAAGCATTCCTGAAGGCAGGACTTGGAGCCTGGGTGGAGAAACCCATAGAACAGGATCAGTTTTCTCTCACGGTCTGATTCACAGACGGCACATCACTTTGGAAAGGGGGTTGTTCTGGAAATTCCTAGTGTCCAGCTTTGCTTTCTGGCATCTTTCTGTTTAGAGTTGGGTTTTTTCCTTTGTTTTTTTTGAAACGTCATAGTAACTGTTTCTGTTTTGCCCAAGTATTGAAACTCAATGATGATCTGACACACAATTGTATATTTTGTTATGGGAAAGTAATTTCTAGTGTGTTTCTAGAAATACTTTTACTATAGAAAACTTGCAGTAAGGCTGTCCTTACAGTATACAATGACTCATTTTTTCTGGGTTAAAATTATTTCTTTTTTTAATTCAGTGTCATCAAGTGCATGAAGAAATGACAAGTTTCTCTAGGTTTTACACCACACTTTTAGAAAGTAGCTTAATTTTTTTAAAAGAAAATAGGTGATGAAGCTGATTCTACTCCTCTGTTAACTTGTTTTTGAACTGCAGATATTTCTAGCATATAGACCACTGAGCCAGAATGGAGTCTGGACAGCTAGTTTTTCCCCACTTCCTTGCTCTTTAAAACCAGCTGCTGAAAATTTCATGTCTTTGATGTATGTATTTATTAGTCTGTGACCCAGTTTTTAACATGCAGCTTTTTATTCTGTTTTTAAAAATACATTTACCTCCCATTTACACACATTGTGAAGTCTTCATTTTTTTTACCATTGTAAACTGGAAACAGCAAAAAAATTATTTGTAACTTAAGAAGTTTAGTCTATAACGTGCAGAAACCTGCTTAGAAGTAGGTGATTTGTATATCCCAGGAACTCATCAGAATACAATCATAATTGTAACAGTAATATGACAACTTAAAAAAAATTGTCATTTTAATGGATAATGATTGATGAATTGAGATGAATGATTTTTCATTGAGATGAATGGTTTTTTTAAGCCTGAGTTGCCAAAAACAGTCACTTGCTGGGTATTGATTGCTCTCCTTGAAGAAATGAAAAGCTCTTATACAGTCAAGAAGTTGATAAAACTTCTTCCCTGTGAGTTTTATCTGCTTTCACCCAAGTTGTTGTGTCTCTGAGATTTCATTGCCTTTTAGCTTTACCTGTGTGATGGTCTTCACGAAGCTAATTAGGTAAGTTGCTCTCAAATGTGCTTTCATTTGCTTTGATGATTACTTAGAAAGGTGTTTTTCTGAAAGGTGTAGACACTTTGCTGTATGTAAAAATGTAAGATAGAAGGGAAATATTGTGAGATCAGTTTGATTAACTGGTGTATAGAAGGCATTTTTAAAAACACTTTTTAGTATGTGACATTTAGGAGTGATGAGACAATGTCCGGTATCACTTTTTTGCTCACACAGCCTGTGTGCAAACACATCCCTTGGCTCATGCCCATCCAGGTATCACCTGTGCTTTCTGAAGAGCATCTCCGTGTTCCTTTTGCAAACAATGAACGTGATGCTTCGTGACATGGGAGTTCGCCCGACAAAAACAAATTGGTGCACCACCATTCCAGCTGTTGGTTCCTGTCCCTCTGCTCCACCACCCCTTGCCTGTGCTGCATGGGACATCAGATCAGTGGGCTGGTCTGTGCTTTGAAGTCAAGTCAGCTGTTACTTTTAGACCCACATTGGGTCAGAGATCCAGTTTAGAGTTGTGCCGACGCGTCTGTAGAGGCAGTGGAGTGGAGCGTGGGTCCATTCAGCCAGCTTCACGGCCAAAGCCTGTGTATCATGAAGCTGTAACTGGAGTTACTGTATCTCAGCCTCTGCATCTCTGGAGGGTTAGCAAATAGTTGGGGTGTTGGAGACTTTGATGAAAAACCACTTCTGGCCAGTCATGAATGCCAAGGAGATGTGCTGCTTCGTTATTGCTCAAGGAGGAACCTGTTTTCAACTTCAAAAAATTATCAAGCCTAAAAATCACTTGTACGTTAGTTGAAGCCTCTGGGTTAGTGTCTAGTGAGTAATGCATTGAGGTGCAAACAATGCATTTTTGGCATTATTATGGATAATAGCAAGCACTGCTGTGCGAAAGCGAGCAATTCTGTGGCCTAGTGATCCCCTCAGGAAAGACTGTGATGCTTCCAGAGGTTACTGCCTTTTCCAGATGCCAGAGGAAGAAATGTTGCAAGCTGCAATAGACAGGCTGTGTTAAATCGGCTTTGTTGGCATCTTAAGCCATCCTTTCTGCTTCTCATTAAAACCAAGGGTGCTCCCATGGTCTCTGCCAGCCCGACAAGGCTTTTGCAGTCATCATCTGACTGAGGCTTAGACTGACCTATTGTAAAACTAGAAGGAATTTAATTGTATGTGGTCAGATTTTGCAAGCACATGGGCATCTGCCTTTGAGATCAACCTTGTCTCATTCACGGTGCAGAAGTTCTGTGGCTGTAGTTTAATATGTGCATATGTTTCTGCAGGATCGAGGGGAAGCTGGTCACACCGTGTGCATTTTCTTGAGATCATTACTGCTATTAGATGAAATGCACATTTTTAAGGGGCTCAGTCTATTGATAAATGAAGTCTGTTGATAATTTCCAGCAAATTATTTTTACCCATCTTTCTGAAGTGCTCATTCAAAAGTTGGTGTCTCTCTGGATTTTTTTTTGATGACTAGGGAAGTATTAGCTCAAACTATTTTTTTTATGAAGTCACAAATATGAGCAATATATTTAAGTATTATTATAGACATAGTTTTTTAAGCTGTTCAAATGAATGATTAAAATTAAACTGTAAAGGAAATATGTTCCATGCCAAAACCTTTTGACGAAGGAATGGTGTCAGGTTATTTATGAGGAACGAGTTCTCTTGTTTATAATACCAGGATTTTAAAAAGTAAGAAGTTTTCCAGGGTTGTATGCAATCCATATCTGTCTTCTGGGAGTCAATAAAATACTGCTTGGCTTCCTTGTTCCTTGTTTGTTCCTTTTTGTGCAGTTAATATATGGAAAGAAGTTGGGAGGCAGAGTTGTGATTGCTGATGCTCCCATATTCCTAACAAATCACCGTCACTGAGCAAGAATGGATAGCAATGTATATAATTTCAAGCAACAGCAAAAGATAAGACAGCTCAGCTTGCAGCAGCTGCCAAATTTTGTGGCTGACCTTTCTGTTGGGAGCTGTGAGTCTCTCCAGTGGGTTGGGAGGCTGAGCAGTCTTGTCTGAAAAGCCTGGGTTGGGTGGATGGGTTCTGGCCTGCACAGGGACTTGCAGTGCTGCTCTGGGAGCTGCTTTGGTTCTTTTAATTATTTTTTTTCTTATTTTTGATTGGATATGAGTGTTTGTCTCAGGATCTTCAAAGGACTTAAAGAGTAACAACTTCAGTGTTGATGAATACTTGAAATCTAATTTAAGGTGTTTTTCTCCAGATGACAGTCTAGCTATAATAACGTTTGTAGGTTAGTAAAATAGGTAATTTTAAATATAGATGTTTGAAACGTATATGTTCTGCAGGTTTGTTTTAAGAAAATTTGGGCCTAAAGGTTAACACTTGAAATATCAGTTATGGCTGTACTCAGGACCTAGTAATAACTATAGATTATCTCTTACTGCTTGTGTGTGAAGTGTATTGTGTGTAGGAGCCTGTTAGCAACTGTTCTTCCCCAACAGCATGGATGTCCAGGTAGCTCTCACACTCATGGCCCCAGCTCACTCTCATGTAGCTAGTGATGGTAATTGTGACTCTGCGTACTTAGGAACGTACAGCAATGGGGTCTCTGTACAGTTGGCAATTTTGATCTTCTCCTGATCTTAGAGAAATCTTTTCATCACTGGTTACTGCATAGGAAACTCAGGAGTAGAAGATTTTTGTGTGCTGTTACTCTGTACATCCTCTAAATCTAAAATAACTTGCAGCTGAAAGTCTAAGGATCTCGGAGCTGGTGTTGCATTTCATCAGCCCGGTTCTGTGATGTCTAAGAGTGCTGCTGACCCAAGGGAAAAGAATAAATCTCATCCTGCTCTCTCAGTGAAGATATGCATGAAATAAAGCTGTTGTTTAAGAGTGCTTGGTGGCATGATGCAGAGCGTGCATCTCATGGAAGAGTAGTGCTGCCTTTTGAAACCAAGCTGCCTTTTTAAAAAATAACCAACCAGGAATTGAGAATCAATTCTAAGAATTGCTCGGTCATGGTCACCACATAATTGAGACTTTTTTTTTTTTTAAAATATCAATGGTTTTCTGAATAGCAAAGATTATTATTGCCATTCCTTAAATTAGGCTTTAATGCTTGGGAAGATCACACTTGCAGAGAAGCTGCGCTTTGAATTCTTTGCATTTTATCATAAAATGTTCACTGTGAGAATTATCCCAAAGTTTACTGAAAAGGAAGAACTGCAGTTCAGGTATACAGTCAGAACAAAAATGTCCAATGTTATTTAAAACCTAAGAACCCACAGAAATAGAATTTATAAAATATAATCATCCTGTCTCAAAATCACCATGTGTTTTTTATTTTGGGTTTTTTTTCTAGTATCAAGTGATTTCAGTTGAATTTAAAAGATTGCATCTTCGCTTAGCACGTTCCTGTTTAGAGAGGAGTTGGCATTTATCTGAGGGTTACCTCAAGCTAACAGAGGCACAGGTTTTGAAAAGGACATGAAGTAGATTTCGGAAGGGACGCTGGGCTTGGTGCTGGGGGACTGGGAGAGGGCTGGTGCAGGGGCCAGTCCCCACTGCACCCTGGCATGTTGGCCTGGGCTTGTTCCCTGTCCTGCTGGTGGCTCAGTGGGGACCGGGAAGGGGGCTCAGTGTGATGTGCTACAGCTGTTGCTGAGTCAGCATCTGACTGAAGCAGGAGGAGGAGGAGGAGGAGGAAGAGAGAGAAATTGCTGCTTTCTCTAGTTCCTAAAGCAGAAATGATGGCATAGGGTGAGATTTCTGCTCCTCCTGCTCTCTGGTGGAGAAGCCCTTGGGCAGGAGATGAGGAGCATGGGCCAAATGAATTGTGTGCTTGACAGCAGGTGCTTCCCAGGCACCACCTTTCCCACAGAAGTCCCAGCACAGGTGGGCCCCAGCTGTGTGTAAATCTGAGGCTTTTAGGGTGCATTGGGCTTGCTGCCATTCCTTTATGGAAACAACTGGTCCAGATTATTTAAAACAATTTTGGGTTGACCCCTGAGGAAGAAGGTTGCGTGGGTCTCTGTGGCAGGCAGGTTGGGTATTTACAGCTGCAGTATGCATGGTGTTTCATCACTAGGCAGGTGGTGTGTGTCCCTAAAGCACACCCAGGCGGATAAAACTAAGGCCCCTAAGTACATCCGCTAGCATCACGTGCCTAACCTGTTATGGTGCTTCTGATAAAACTTTCGTTGTTTCTGTCGAGCTGGTTGTGGTAAGGAACAATGCAAACCTCTGGGGGCTGCAAAGAATGAGCTGTGGCTGAAATCCTGCTAGCAGAGAGCAGATAGGACCCAAGTTTCTCCTTGGATCACGTCAATGTATGGTGTTTTTCAGAATCTTTTCAGCAAAAGGTCTGTCCTGTCGCCTGTTAATAAATGGGTGGTTAATTGTGCCAGCAGCATTTGCATGTGCAGGAATGAGTTTTATGGGTAGCTATGTTTTGTTTTCTTCAGTCATTCCAGAAAAGAGGAATTAAGAGATATGTTTGCTGTCAGTACCAAGGGCAGCCGGGCTCGGCAGACGTAATGATTTAAAGAATTTCTGTTCTCCAAAGGG